AAAGGCCAGAGCACTTGGCTCATCCTTGTGCCAACTCAACTCAGACATACCATGCAATGCAGCTAACTCCCTAGGATGTGCCTTCCACCCCCAAATTTTCCACTTAAGCAAATTAATGATCAGGAAAGATGGGATACACCCAGAAGACAGAAAACCACTTATTCAGCAAGTCAAAAATGGATATGCTGGCACTGAAACTTATAGTTGAAAGTGAAATGCATCCTACAAAGAATCCCAGATTTCAGCTGCCTGCTAGCTACAGTAAATATTTCAGGGATGTCCCTAAGATGATTTTTACTGAGAACAAATAGTACCTTCTTGTTAAAAGCAAAGAAGAGGCTGGCTTGATAGGGAATAGACAGATCTTTTATCCCTCTAATGCATTTATTCCCTTATGTTCAGTATTTCTCAGAAAGGATGTCACTTCCACAGAGAATTCTGCTGCTCTACATTTCAAGAACTCAAATGTTCCAGTGAAGCCCAACTTAAATTTCAGAAGTTGATAAAGAAAATGGAAAGAGTAGAAAAAAAAAATGCATCTGGTGGTTTAGAATGCTAAAATCCTTCAGACTAAAAGACAGCGGCAACTAGAAATCCAGAAACACACTGATCAAGCTAACTGTAATCTCCCACACCTTATGGAAGTTGGTGTGTTTACACTTTGCATGCCTATCTTTTCACATGCAAAAGATGACATCTGAAATGTATGTAACTTGAGAGCTTGCCCTGTAGTCTTAACTATTCTCCCATAAACTTAACCAACAAAAATAATAATTAACATAGGTGTTTCATAATCCTTCCAAAATATTTTCTTAGTAAGACGGTAAGTGAGGATTGTTTTACCATTCAATAGAAAAAGAAGACTGTTTAACGTGGGTGTGTGCCAATATATGAAAACTATTTTAAATGAATATTTTTGCAGTGGTCTGGAGGATCATGAGCCTAAATGTTGAACACTCCCTAGCTTCACGTTCGCTCTGCACTGAATCACTGTGCAGCCCTGCACAGAACAAAGAGATGGAGGAAAGAAAGTCAAGATGCAAATGACTTAAGCGTATTAACACTTATAATTCTGTACTATTCAAGAAGCTGGAATGTCCCAAATGAAATTTAGGACAGAGACAGACTTAGATGCGCCCTTACTAAAGTAAGGGCTGTCTCAGAAGACAGCACAAAAGGCAGCAGCACAGAGACACTGAAGGGGCATGCAAAGCCACCACTGGCACGCTCACTGTGCCTAGGACTAGTATGTGCCCAGAGGGTATCTTTTGCAATGTTCAGGGGAAATTTCTTCCAGTGGCAACCAGGCCTTCTAAAGTCTTTTTTACTTAAAAGGACTTAGACAAAACCAAGCATTTCACACCTCAGTTTCCACCTTACATAAAATGGAGAGAAAACCTGGCTCACCAATAAAATAATTAAGGAGTTAAAGTCTCAGCTGTAGGAAAAACAAATTTTACATGTTTGAGGTAATGCAACACACATAAATAAAGCGCAGCTACCTAGCTCAAGCCGATAAAGAGTTTTACTCCAGCCCACACCTGGATATTTGATAATGCATGCAAATATAAGCTTTTAACATATACCATGAGGAATTAAGTAACAACACAACCTTGCAACTGAAATTAATATTAATGCATATAGAGGCTTTTTTCAGTCAAAACCCAAAAAAAGGTGCTACAAATCTATAAAACACAAATTGATGTTGATTCCTAATAAATGTAAAATCTCACTCTGTATGACACTACAGTTTGCAGAAAACTGGCACAAGACAATATTTAACCTTGGCCTACAAGCAAGCATCACTTCATTAGTACAAATTAGTAATTTAAGGTATCAGGGGTAGGTATAAGCTTTACACAAACTCCCAAGGAAGTCATGCATTTGAGAGATACACATGTGTACTTTCTTCCTCATTGTGAACACCTGCACATATACTTAACTTAGATGAAGTTTTCTTTCTAAAGCTAGTCTTGGAGCTGTCAAGGTCATTTGCTAACGCCAGCGCTGGTGCATTTATAACAATAGCAAAAGCTAAGATACACATCAAAGAAAAGGCCGTTTTGTTAACATTCTGAGCCATCATTTAACTATGAGGTAAAATACCACATGATTTGTTCACAGAAATTAATTGGTCAGAAATGAAATATTATCAAAGGTTTATATTCTGATTGATGGTATCTCAAAAACATTCTATCACATATTTATTTAAACTAAAAAGTGGATAAAAAACAGGAAAAAAAAATTAAGAATATCCTAAAAACAGTAGTACTGATGTTATTTTCAGCTAGCAACTTTTCTCCTTCTTCAATTCAGTAGGTTATCAGGAGACAGCTTCGCTAACATCATGCAATTTCTCTGCACAATTCTAGTAATACCTAGATTTTGATCTCCTTCCCACTATAAATTCATCCCATAATCCCACAATGCTAGTGCAGAAATGGCATTCAAATTTGGAACTCCAAAACCTGAAATACAGTCATAGCAATTTAATTTAAGTAATGCTGAGGTTGCTTGTATTTGATGTTTGAGAACCTTGGCCAATGTACTTCAGGAAAGAAAAGTGACTTGCATTTGACATTGGAGTGGTCTGAACACCAACTACCACTGCAATCAGTATCACTCCCAAACAAAACTAACTGACAACGGAAAAGTGATTAATGATAGAAAAGAGAAAGAGGAGTGGCACACCAAGAATAAAAACAGAAATAGAGTTTTTAAAAGGTACAAAAACATTCAGAGAAAAAGAAAATCATCATCGAAGTACAACACTATGTATGGTTAATGTGAAAATCTATCCTGAAAGAACTGGGGCACTAAAAGGAAACAAACCAAAACAATCTGCTATCTCATTGTATGAAAAAAACCTGGAATGAAACACGCCTAAAGCATGATTTCTAGTTCACTAGCTACAACTCAGATCAAATCCTGATGCATATTGGCTATTCATCTGAAATGCCACTACTACAGCCGTTACATTATCCATCTTTAGTAGTATTTTCCTCCTTCTTCTCCTATGTCCTTTCCTGTGTGCAACACACTCCCAAAAAGGACGTGGCCACCACAGTTAAACTTTCAGAAAAATAACATTAGTGGCACTTAGATGATGTGTTTTCTTTTCCTTTCTTTTGCTTTTGCTTTGCCAGTTGCAAATATCCTAATAAAACTAACAGTGGAATGGGTCTCATTTCAAAGGCTGATCATTTAACACATACCCAAGTGCTCTTTACATTTTTAATCTTTGCAAAATATCCCCTTATAAACAGGCATTGTATTACAACAGTATTCATGATAAAATTCCAAAGTGGCATTCAGAACTTTGTAAACATGGGAAACTCACTGGCAAAGCCACAAATCAAACAACAAAGGACTGGGAACGTATAGGGACTTCTATTGTTAAACATTCATAGTAATAAATATGCAAGCATAATAATTAGTATGTTGTTTTGAACTGCAACAGTACTGAATTTTCTATCAAAATTTTACATCGACACCTATTTCATCTTGGGGACACTAACTATTTGAGGATGGAAACATCACATCTGCTGCATATTACATACTAACAGTGCTGAATTACAAAGGTTTTGATCTGGAGGAAAAGGTAGAAATGGTGGGCATCTGTTCTTTTGAGAGAAGTTACTACCACATATGCAGACCTATTGGGAAAATACACCAGTTTATGTAGTACATTAAGTACTCTCCACCTGGTAACAGGAGATAGCATCTCAACAGTTTACCCACAAACACATTTTTAAAAGTTAGATCCAAATTAAACTGAATACCAAAACCTTTCACATCACGTCCTACGTGAACAAACCGTTTCTCAGAAATAACACAGTTGAAATCTTCAAAATTCAAGAAAACTGCTTAAGGAAAATACTCTGCCTGGGTTTTTCCACAAAGCGTTATCACAAAGAGCTCTTTTTAGCAGGTAGACACAGTTCTTCAACAAAACTAGCAGACTTCAAAATATTCCAGAAGAGCAATTTGCAGCTTAGCACCACCCCACCTTAAAGCACTCTTTTCATGAAAAGCCACAATCTCAAAGGAAACAAAACACAACCCAGTAACAAACCAAAACCAACTGCAATACACCTTTTGGACAAAAAAAAACCTTTTCTGGAGTGAAGCAGCCAAGTGGGAACAGTAAAAGAAGGAATGGCCAGTATAGACTCTGATTAAGGGTGATAGATGGATGTATCAAACAAGCTCACTCTGCCAACTTAATGATTCAGCTTAAACAACTGGGAGGTTTCCTCCTGTTTTCTGTCAGAGCAAAGTACATCTATTGTGTGCATTTGAAAATTCTGCCTCTTGTAAGGTAGTCTTTTGCTCTGCATACAAGAACTACCACGGAATTCAGCAGAGAACGATACATTAAAGAAAAGATGACACTAGTTTTGTGGAAAAATCAATCATGGCCTCTAAAAAAGCTAGACACAAATAACAATATATTCTGTTCAAAGGAAAATATTTTTTTTTATATACCAAGTTAAAGATAAGTACCGCAATTTAAGTACTTCCACTTATTTAGCAAAATACCCTCACTTCATTTTAAAGATAACTTCATTAAGTGCAAAAGAAAATGGTGAAAAAAATCCAAAGCAGACCACACAATGGTGTGTTTTCAACTTCCGTATAGATTGAACAAATTAATTAAGAAACAGAATCTGACCCTTCAATAAACCTGTTCAAAGTTGATTGTATTTCACAACCAGGTTTCCAGTTTTGCTCTTCTAGATTACGGATCATTAACTTTGAAACATGCCAGTGTGCAAGATTCATCACGTGCATTCAGATATTCATTCATGTCTCCGACCGTATGGTACAAGGTTAGCAACAGTTCTCAATAACCACAAGATGTAGGCAGGTCAGCTCTATCGTGCTTACTATTACAGCAAATACTTGCTACTAGCTTAAACTCTTTAACGGGAATTATTTTCACTCCATCAAGTAACTCCCCATAACTCCAACAGGAATTTGGAGCTCAAATTACTTACCTGTGAACATAATGCAACTGATGAACTGAATCAATAGCTATCACCATTTCAGCCAAATAAAAACGCGCCATATCTTCAGGTAGTCTGTCCTCAAACTTGCTGAGCAACGTAAGCAGGTCTCCTCCAACATAGTAATCCATAACCAGGTACTACGGAGTGGGAATGATAAGAAAACACGGGGGGGGGGGGGGGGCGGGGGGGGAAACAATTTTAGCCACAATTGAGTGAATCAGAGACTAAAAACTAATATAAGCATAAAAATTAATTTATTGCAAAAATTATTATGGCATTAAAAAGCTAACCAAGATGCTTAGATGTTCTGAAAAGAAGTAGCTGGTTCAGCCTCATTTTAATATTTAACCTACTTGAACATGTTTCATATTTATACCTCCGCAAATACAGTAAGCCTCATGACAAAATAGTATCAGCTTCATCCACTTCCACATCACCAAACATAAAATATTTAGATACTCTGGATTCCCTTATAAAAACAATACCCTTCAATAGAATGCAAAAGGAGCAAAGGATTAAAGCACAGAACTATAAAAACGAAACCAATTGTGTTAACTTGGGATCTCATTTAAGGACCCTAATTTCCCAGGCTTCCCTTTCCCTTTTTTCCTACCATCTTCTTTTCCCATTAAACAAATGATTTTGGAGCATAAAGTTTTTAGACTACTCAGATTGAGGCAGAGAGTAAGAGACTTCCAGTGGCTCACAGTACAATTCCAGATATCGTTGACGTTGCACACAATACAGGATCTGCCAACGTACAGTGGAAGGTGTCACCTTCTCTAATTGAACTGATAGGGAAAAATACGCTTGATTTCTGATTTATTAATGAAACATAAAACCTGCTTGCCATTGAATCAGGTGCAAAGACTTTAAAGAGATCAGAACCTTTCTCCATTTTACTACATTATGACAGAGCAAAATGCCACTTCCTTTAGAGACATGGTCAAAATGACTGGACAAAGTAAACTTGAGAAAAGTGGGAAATTCATTATTAATATCTTTTTATCTTAGTTTAGTTTGTTTTAATTGTGGAACAGCAACTGGCAGGGCAAATAGGAAAAAGAAAAAAAAAAATCAAACTAATTATAACAAACAAACCAATTATAAGCAATCGAATTTAACACTCCCTGCTATGACATTACTTTCAAACACCATTGTGGACAGACTAATTAGAATAGTTTCCCACTGAAGCATATAGTATCTGAAAGCTTTTGCCTAGAGTTCCAACCTCAGCTTCCAGGAAGGCAGCATATATCCGCATTTGAAGCGGTGACTCTTAACAATAGTGTATAATGAATCACAAACAACAGAAAATACTAAAGATGTAATAAAGTGTATCCTAATTTGATTCTTTAACATTTTGGTAAAGCAACTTAAAGGGCCTTTTTATAATTAGTTGTCGTCATTTTTTCAAGTCTTTCCTACCTTCAGAAAAAGAAATTAAAATATGCAGAAAAAATTCTGCAAAATTATACCAGCTATAAGGAAGATGTGGGGCAGGCAGAAATCTTAATGCCAGTTCCTTTTCCCTCGTACTTTCCATAACAATAAAGGTGATGAAGAAAGATTTTAACAATTTGATACAGAATAACCTGAGCATCCTCATTGATTCCAAGTGCGTGAAGAAAGTACAGAATGCATTTCCACAAAATTCTAAATATGCTGACAATCAAAATTTCATCTGCTGCTTTGTGACACGAATAGTAAACTTCTTAAATTATGCTCACAAGCCTTACACAAGATAAATATCTTCTATTCAGTGGTGCTCCTACGCTCCCTCTGAAACAAGATCTACAGTACTAGTTTCTCATGTTTTACAGTTTTAGAAAATACATTAAGCCTTTGGAACTTAATATAATAATTATTAACTGATACACTATATAGTGAGATCTGCAAGAGCTTAACTTATTGCTTTGAAATTATACTGAAAAAAACTCTTAAGATTCTCATAGCTGATGTGGGATCTCTGCACTCATTCTTCAGCATTTTTAAAAGCAGTACAACTTAGTAACTGCATATACCAAAAATAAAGGAATTTTGGCTCTGACAACACAGGACTCCGCACCTCCCATTTTGCAAGAGCAACACAGTAGCCTCATCACAAGGAAACCCTCAACTCCTCAAATATGCCAACATTTAAACTGTAACTCACAGTATTAAGGCGTGCACTTGAAGTTAAACACATGCGTAGGAATCAAAGCTAAGTTTAACAACTAAGTTTTTAATAAAACAATTCAGTCAATGCATAGCATCCCATCCAATGTCAAAAATCCATATCCTTAAAAAAAAGGTTATTTTTTTTTTTTAAAGCTTTAAAAATACTTTCTAAATGCACACAATCATCCAGATCTATTCAAGCCTCAAATACTTCTCAAAATACTACTGTACAACAGCACCATCCTTCCAAGAGAAAGAAAAAGCACAGATTTAAAGACATTAAATTCTAGTAACCAGTGGCAGGTTAACATGGGCATTTAATCCTAAATCACAGACTCGTTTAGGTTGGAAGAGACCTCTTGAGATCATCTACTCCAACCTCATCTGCTCAAGTAGGGTCAGCTAAAGCAGGCTGATGAGGACTGTGTCCTGTTGGGTTTTGAATATCTTTAAGGATAGAGACTCCACAACTCCTCCAGGTAACATGTTCCAGTGTTTGACCGCCCTCACAGTAAAAAAGTGTTTTCTTGTGTTCAGACAAAATTCCATGTGTTTCAGTTTGTGTCCACTGTCTCCTGTCCTGTCACCGGGCACTACTGAAAGGAATCTGGCTCCCTCATCTTTATTCCCTCCCATCAGGCATTTATACACATTGACGATAACCCCCCCCAACCCTTCACTCATCTGGGCTGAAGAATCCCAGCTCTCTCAGCCTCTCCTCACATGAAAGATGCTTCAGTACCCTAATAATCTTTTGGGCCTTGCACTGGAGTGCAAGCTCCATCTCTCTTTCACACTGGGAAGCCCAGAACTGGACGCAATACTTCAGATGCAGCTGCATCAGGGCTAAGCAGAGAAGAAGGACCTTCACTGACCTGCTGGCAACACTTTTCCTTGCAGCCCAGAACACTCTTGGCCTTTTTTGCTGCGAGGGTGCATTGCTGGCTTCTGGTCAGCTTGTTATCCGCCAGGACCTCAAGCAAAGCTGCCTTCCAGCCAGCTGGCCCCCAGCATGTACTGGGTTTATTTTATTCCACCCCAGATGCAGCACATTGCATTTCCCTTCGTTGAACTTCATGAGATTTCTCTCTGCCCAGTTCTCCAGTCTGTCAAGGTCCATCTGAATGACGGCACAGCCATCTGGCGTATCAGCCACTTCCCCCTGTTTTTTATCATCTGCGAACTTGCTGAGGGTGCACTCCATCCCATTGTCCAGGTCATTAATGAAGATGTTGGCCCCAGTATTGAGCCCTGGGGCACACCACCATTGACTGGCCTCCAGCTGCACTTTGTGTCACTGATCACGACCCCCTAGGCCCAGTAGTTCAGCCAGTTTTCAATCTACCTCACTGTTGCCTATCTAATGCATACTTTGTCAGCTTGTCTATGATGATGTTACGGCACACAGTGTCAAAGGCATTACTAAAGTCAAGGTAAACACCATCCACTGCTCAACCACATCTACTGCTCAATCTACACAGGGTTTGTTTTTTTTTTTTAAAGGCCACTTCTGTTATATTTTACTTTAATAAAAAGCACATAGAGAACAAGCGATACATTCACACTAAAATGATGAAAAACAGTATTACTGATATTTTCCCCAGCAGGCTGCAAAACTAGCTCCTGTTAGCAGACTATCAAAGATAAAGAACAGAAGCTGCTCTGTGCTTCGTGAAAATAAAGAAACTGGCAAGATTAAAACAAATTCTAGCAAGCTGTTGAGAAATATATAATATTTTCTTTGAAATACTGGTAACAGTAAGATCAGAATTACATAAAACACAAGATTATTTTTACTGTCCACATTAACAAAGCATGAAGCTGGCTAGGAGGTATTTAAGCCAACAGCTAGATTCACAAATGCAGAGCCCTGTTTCTATATAAACTCCACCAAAATCCATGGATCCCCAAGTATCTGAGCTGACAGAACAGAAAGCAATATAATGGCAAAAAGCATTGCAATTCTGCAAGAATTCCATGAATAGCACTTCTTTTATTGGACACGTTGGGAGGGGGAAAGATTATGACTGCATAGTAGATTTTTAAGAAAACATTAGAACTTACTAATGATATAGAATCCCAAGCACAGAGCAATAAAACCCAAATAAGCAAAAGCTATCAATGTGCAGTTGTTTTTTTACTTTTTCAGGCATACATATTACCAAAACTGTATCACAATCAAAACATATTTTAAGTGGGAAAGATTTCATAGAAAATTGGCACTTTTTCCTCATATTAGCTTCTTTTTGCAAGTCTTTCAAAATACTTGAAAACTAAATAATATTAAATATTAAAGAGACACTTTAATCTACAGCTTCCAACTCTTATTTATGAACATTTAGTGGCATTTTTCGATGCTGCAAAAACATTTTATTAGTTTACAACATCTTAGTGGGTTTAAGTCCTCAAAAAAGCAGACTAATAAAATGAACTATTGTTTCAAAACGGGGCTACTCCCTATTTCTAACTGTAAAACAGTAATCAGCAATGTTAATCACAAAAATTAAAGTCAAATAGAAAATTTTACATATTACCTGTATCACAATCAAAACATATTTTAAGTGGGAAAGATTTCATAGAAAATTGGCACTTTTCTTTTTGCAGTCTTTCAAAATACCTGAAAGCTAAATAATATTAAATATTAAAGAGACACTTTAATCTAAAGCTTCCAACTCTTATTTATGAACATTTAGTGGCATTTTTCGATGCTGCAAAAACATTTTATTAGTTTACAACATCTTAGTGGGTTTAAGTCCTCAAAAAAGCAAAGACTAATAAAATGAACTATTGTTTCAAAACGGGGCTACTCCCTATTTCTAACTGTAAAACAGTAATCAGCAATGTTAATCACAAAAATTAAAGTCAAATAGAAAATTTATGTAAGTGCACTTTTATTTTTATGAATCCAGTTACACTGGAGTGACGAATTATAAGAAAGAAGATGCAGATAATATTAGCTTCTTTTTGCAAGTCTTTCAAAATACTTGAAAACTAAATAAAATTAAATATTAAAGAGACACTTTAATCTACAGCTTCCAACTCTTATTTATGAACATTTAGTGGCATTTTTCGATGCTGCAAAAACATTTTATTAGTTTACAACATCTTAGTGGGTTTAAGTCCTCAAAAAAGCAAAGACTAATAAAATGAACTATTGTTTCAAAACGGGGCTACTCCCTATTTCTAACTGTAAAACAGTAATCAGCAATGTTAATCACAAAAATTAAAGTCAAATAGAAAATTTATGTAAGTGCACTTTTATTTTTATGAATCCAGTTACACTGGAGTGACGAATTATAAGAAAGAAGATGCAGATAGACCAAGGTTTATCAACAAATGCGAAGTGGTTTAGAAAACAAAGCTGCATTCCTGAGATATTTATAGCAAAACTTTAAAAGTTTCTGACCACTCTCCACCCTTCAGAATCTTACGCACAAAATCACATATCCTCCATGGTCTGTACGGTCCAGAACACAAAACTAGCAAATAAACAAACTATGTTTCTCTCTCAAACTACAACTAAGAATCTGCATTTCCATCCATATATACATAAAAGCAACACTCACTAAATAGTTTTCATCCTGGAATGCATAATGTAATGTTGTGATCCACTGGTTATCTCCATTCACTAACACATCTCTCTCTTCTCGAAAACAGGCTGTCTGAAGGGGAGAAAAATAATTATAGGCTTCAAATAAAATATATAAAGAAACACATTTTGCAAGTTGACTATGCGTTAACATTATATTTTGGGGGAAAAAATTCAAAACTGCCTCTCAGTTAAAAAGTCATTTACTACACTCTCCAAACATGCCAAATCTATGAAAAACTAGGTATCAGAAAAGTTCACCTTCTATAAATTTAAAGAGTTGTACTTCTTTATATTGTTAAGTGATGCAAAGAGAGAAATAAGCTGCTGCTTCCCACTGTCTAAAAATCCCAAGTCAAAATCTTATCTTTTTTGTACATATAGATATTGAAAGCAAGTATCAATAATGACAGAATAGCAATACAAGATTGAAGAAAACAATCAATAATGGCATTATATAACTACAATAGGAGTTAAAGAACTAGAATCTGGAGTCTTGTGTCATTGTTTTATCTCATCATGCTGTTAGCCTAGTTTTACACTTGAATTTTCACATAAGCAAGGTTCTTTTCATTTGAAAGTTGCTGCCAATAACTTCCATGTAGCCATAATTTGATAATCATTAAACCAGTTGGGGTTTTCTCCACACTTTTTGCTCAGGAAAAGTAGGACAGAATTGAATATTGCTCTTGCTAGATATAAGCTGTTGATAAGACATCCAGGACAATCTCCCCTCAATATACTGGAAAGAAACACGAGGCAAAAGGTGCCTTCATAGCAAGCGCAACAGAGGAGGAACAAGAACTGTCAAGAAATGCTAAGGAATACCTATGAGAAGAAGGAGAACACGGGTTCATATGAAACAATAGAACATAAAATGTGAAGAAAATAACCAACTGGAAAGCAGCACAGCAGTTAATTCAACGGAGGTCTTGCAACCTGCCCCGAGAAGTGAGTAAAATAGCTCAGCAAAAGCAGCTTTGCAGAATGAGAGAGGAAAATGACCAAACAGATGAGAAGCCAAAAATAAACTATAGCAAAGAAATACGATAAACGTTTTGAAGGGACTGAGTTCTGAAGTGAGTATCGCAAGAAAATGAAAGGTACCAAACAGAAAAGCCAACAAACAATTCTGTTCAGAAAAATGTCTAAAAGATAGTGTAAAAGGAATAATAATTGTATGGGCTCTATTTAGAAGGCAGATGGAGAGTTAGAGAAAAACACACCATAATCTCTTCCAGCACACTCTGCTACTTCACAAAGATGTTTCATCAATTTGAACCATACCCTGTCTCTTCCATCTTAGGAGACAGCTAAATTGAAGGGAAAAAAAATCAAGCCTTTTCTTTTTACTTTTCCAATTTCTTTTCCAAAACCAACAGGCAAATACCAGAACTCTGACATGGTGGTTGTTGGCTGTGAGATTTGGAGAGTGAAGAATGAAAAGCGAAATATCACTTTAGGTTGAGCTATGCACAAGAATACACGCAGTAAAAACAAAGCAGAAAATAACTCGCTCCTCCAAGCGAATAAACCATACCAAGTCTTGTTTTGGTGAATACAGTGAGTAAGAATAATGCAGACCAGGAAAAAGAAAGATGGTATACTTTAATCATAGCACAATGCATGAGATAAATCAGTGAAATTTGAGAAAATAACAAAACATACTTTAAACAAATACCCTCAAAGGTTACTAAATGAAAAATGGGCTTGAGGGTGGGAGAAGGAGAAAGGATGATCTTCAGAATGAAGAAAAGCTGTTCTATGCTTCAGCTTGATTTTCTTCCTTCCTTGTTTGTAAACTCTTGACATATTTCAGAGACAGATGCTGTGAACTCTTGTTTTCACAAGGATAAATGACATGTAGTTTCTCTACTTGTTACGACACAATTCACAGGATTAGTTACTACAGAGAGTTTATATAATTCCACTTGTTTTTGCCATGATTTAACAAAAGACCATATACTCCTTGAGCACTCTAGACACCCACCTCCAGGCAGTACACCCAGAGCTGACAGCAACAGCTATTACTACACTAGATCACAGCTGAGACAGTAACAGCCAAAGAGTCTAAGTGGTTCACGGGCTTTACATTAATTCATGGCAAAAAATAAATAAAATAATAATTAAAAAAAATGGTAGCAGTTGTTCTTGTAATTACTGTAACATAGCTCAATTAAGTTTGGTTTTTTTTTTTAAATGAAGCCTTTTTTTGTGCCTTTCATTATTTCAACATTACACTTCATCTTCCCTAGGCACAGTGTCCTTGAATTGTTGGCAGAGACTTCCAGAGGTCATCTAATCCAGCTCTCTGTCACAGTAAAGCCAACTTAGTGCTTTGGTTATATCTATACTGTTATCGTGGCCTTCAACCAGTGAAGAATTTGGGCTGCTTGGCTCTTTGGTGCTCATGTCCTTACAGTTCAGAGTTAGCACCTTCCGGGAGTGCTGACTGCTTCCATGCTGCATAATATTTGTCCTGGTCTCTCCTGAGCCTCATCTGGCACCACCGTGACACACATGTAACTGTAAGTGATTGTCAACACTCAGGGTAACGGGTCTGGGAGTGTAACAGCAAGCTGTCGCACACTTTCAGGTACTCCTTCTATCAGTAACGTCCCCAGTTCTACAACACATCTCGGACTTTTCAACAGTGGCAAGTATTTGGAAAACATGCTCTTTATAATACAGAAGAGAACACTGACCTCACAACCTGTATAATTTCATTGTAACAAAGTTTTTGCACACAATTACTCTCAGAGCTTGCAGTCATCAACCTTAACCTGGCATTCACAAGCCTCTTTTGAGTACATACTCTCTTTCTGCTTTTACAAATGACTCCCACTTCCCACAGAATTGATACAGGGATATATGAACAACTTGTTTCTGCCATTTACGCATACACCTACCTATATGCTTGTCTTGCATTTTTGGACTGTATGATTTTCCTGTGTATTTCAGTGTTAGTGCAGCACATTGCTAACAGAGCCAAAATGGGTCATTTTCCCTAGCAGTAGTAGCAAGTGCTAGGTTTAAAAACAACAGGTTACAGTTGTTGAAGGTCATGCTTTGTAATGCATTTTCACTCCAGATGGTTCTCTTTCCACTGTATACCCATGGGTTACAAATACATGGAAAAACATAGCTGTAATTCTTTTTAGGCTAACGGTTCAGACTTTCAGAAATTCAGCTGGACCCATGGGAAGAGTATTTTTAATACCTTGCATAGAGAAAAACCTTTCAAACCTATTTATAACTGTATTTTAATGGAAAGAAATAGCTTTTAAACTGACTTTAGAAGGGTACATTTAAAAATAGAGTGGAACTTTATTTCTCGTCTTTTCTTTTTCACTGAAATAATAAAACTTACAGTAATGACATCTGTCTTGGAGAGAAATACCTCTTTATATCGAGACTAATGCCAGATTGCTCAGTATCTGAATAATTTCTGGATAAAGAGGAAACACATTGTCTACGTCTAACCACAATCTGCATGCCATTTATACTTCTCAATGTGATAACATTTTCATTAAAGGCTACAGGATGTGCACACATCAGAAATTGGCTTTAATTCATCTGGATACTTTTTTTTTTTTAAAATTGTGTGATGGTTTCCCATTGATCTCATTTCCTAACAAGATATAATTAAAACATAAATGCGGAAATCAGAATAAACTTGGAAGCAATTGAATAGCAAGGCAGTCTGAGAGTAGCAAAGTTGGAGTCTCAAATAAAAACTCAACTTAGAGATAATTCGATCAGACAAGTTGGAAGAGTCACCAAAATAGTGCTAGCACTGTCCAAACTAAAGAAAACCCAATGGGCAAAGCAACTTTGTATGTGTAAGACACCGAGTTATATTTTCATGAGTCTATTTTTTAGGCAGTTTATTTTTAGCATGCATAGATGAAGAATTTCGAAGCAATTTAAAGAGTTAGATATGCGTTCTGTTTAAAATTAATACACAAGTCTTCAGGCGTAGACTGCATTTTGTAAGTTTCTTTCCAAAGGAATCCAGGGAAATGTATCAAGGATTCTATGAAGAGTGGAGTTGTATAACGAAAGTAGGAACCCAAGGCAAAGCAGGGCTGGTTAAAGAGCTGTTTCACCTTTTTCAGAACACAGAATGGACTCAAGCTTTAACGAGGAACTCTTCATCACAAATTTTTGCAGCTGGACATTTTTACGAAACATGCACTCAAATTAATTCGAAACTTTTATCTTTCTGATTTTTCAATCAAATTGGACCTTGACTAAGTTCTAACTACTGATAAACTAATAGGCTTGGTGAGTTATAGCTCAGTAATTACCTTTCACCATGGAAAATACTCCCTAAAGACTACATTCCTAACTGGAATAAATGCATTAAAAGATTGCTTGTATAGTCGGTAATTCTTGGGCAATTACAGAAAAGGTATAATGTCTAAAACATCCAGCCCCACCTAAGTCAAGATTCCATGCCATTTTAACCCTTCTGATGAACTTCTGACGAAGTAACAATTCAGCAGAGTAAGAGGGTGCGTGATTATAGAAAACATTACTGTAATCTTACTTCAGCTCTCTTCAGCATCTCCCACTTATTAAGTATCTTCATGGCAAAAACCTTATCTGCATTCTTCAGTTTTACTACTGCAACCTGGAGAAGATAAAAGGAAAGATAAATAAGTTAAAACATGAAAACGCATATTGTTTTCATTTTTATGAAACCTTGCAGTTTTGGAGGTTTTTTCTTTAGCATTCTGGACACTTAGCTTTACTGTCCACACAATACCATACATTGTCATCAAGAAAGAGTAACATCACAACAGTACAGGATATTTATTTTGAGAAAGTTGCAAGCCTATTTTAAGCTTTCATTACGTATCACACTTTCATTCTGTACAATTTTTTCTAGGTGACTGTAGATGAACAATGGTATTTCTCACCATCACACTTCTTGCTCTATCATACTGTCATGAAGGTATCACTGGCTGTATGCTTTATGTTCTTGGACTCCAGTCCCACACAATAATTTAAATTACAGAACCACCAAGAAAAGACAACAATGTAATAGTTTCTAAAACAAAATAAACAATATCTTTTAGGTTTTAGACATAAATTAGACTGTAGGTTTGCCACAAAACAACTTCCACTCTCATTTCAAATAATGCACTAGACTTTCTTCAGAGATACAATAAAGTATTACTTCACATTTTTCCACCTCAAGTTCAATGAGCTCTTTATCATGTCTGTTGTCAGTGGCAGGGAAATGGTGAAATCCACATTTTCTAGAGAAGTAAGACTTAGGAAACACAAGTTCCCCTCCCTCTCATTGCTTCTGAAACGTTAGATACCATAGGCCTATGTAATAATATATTAACAAAGCCAACCAACACAGTCCTTTTCCGAGAATATTATAGTTTTGTTTAGCTATAATAAAAGCTAACATGGCATATTTTTAGGAAAGAGGGAGGAAAGAAGTTTACACAAACATGTTTTCACAGTTCAGGCTTCCCTGGGTATAGAAAGCTAAGTGCCACGACACTTACCCAAAATGGCCATGAATCTGCCACAGATTCAGAGCTGCTGATCAGAACTAGACCAGACCACTACACTACCATCCCAATTACAGAAAAGTTCAACAATCAATACATTTTAACAACCATTCGCCAACTATCCCATTCTGCCTCTTGCCTTTCAAATAAATCTTAAGGCTCAAGGAGATAAAAGTTTATTTCTGTGTGCATCTGGCTGCAAACTAACATGCTGTCACACAGATTATCATCATCTTCATCCTGCAGGCCAGTGACAAAAAAATACTAAGGTTGAATCCTACATTCCTTCCACCTCTCTCATAATCAGTAAACAAGCTATGTGTGAAGACAGCGATAACTGAAAAGAAAATACAGGATCAGACAGTTTGAAGCGAGTGTCATGCGAACCTCTTCCAACCATCTTCAAAAGTGTCATCAGCTGCAGCAGCTTCATGAACACGGCAAAAGCGCAGGCTGAAGGACTGCAATACTCAGATGTCTAAACTAAAGCATATCTAAAAGTGTACCTCTTGCTTAGCTATAGATTCATAGACGAAGCAGCTGTCACTTCCCACATGGGCAGCAATGCATTATCGGCCCTGCTCTTGACACTGCTGTCTTCTGGGGTCGTGGGGGGGTGGGAGTCAGGGGAGATAAAAAAAGGAGAGAAGACAGAAAGGTACTATATCTACTTGTTTAAACTAGTTTATGAACTGAAATTTTTAAAGGTTACTTCATGCATAAAAATTAAGGTTCACGTCCAGACTTGGGATCCCTCAAGGTACTTTCAGATTTGAAACACAAAAATAGATTGTTACTTTAGACTATAATCTAATTTTAATTCATAAAGAATGTCTACTCTTCTGTGCATGGTACCCCAAGGTCGAGCATCACAATTTTCCTCAGGAGGGAAAAATGAATCCTCTGCAGTGATACATAACCCACAATGTGGATTTGAATCTTGAGTCTCCTTTTACTTTACTAGCTAAAGCTAGCTTGAAACTCTGATAAGCCATATCTGTACCCATTTCTAATGAGAAATGGCAGGAGGAGAAAGCCTTAACATTGAAACTAGACAGCGTTCAAACTGTACCGTATCTTGGACGACAGGCACCCGCTCTGCATGATGCAGTCTGTGGTATGAAGCTACAGTGTAATTCTGCCCTAAAGACCTTTAAGGGTTTTGCGATTGTTGTTGGGAAAACTAAAAGGTTGGTCCTAGAGCTGAGTAGACTGCTGCTGCTGCTGCCGCCCAGCGTGAAAAGTAAGTTTTTCCCCACCATTAACTGTTGTAGTCTAGGCAGCCAGAGGCATAAGATAATACATGTATTTCACATCCAGCTTCAGGGTTTCGTTTCTTGCCTGTAGCACACTCAGCGAAAGGCTGTGTTATTCTGCAAAAGACTGGTTACTGAAAGACATACGCTGATTGCACAGCTGCCTAAATCTATAGTCTCCTATACAGCATTCACTTGCACACGACCGAAAGAGCTGCAGCACTGCCTTTGGTTAACAGCTGGAGCGCAGGGCTTCAGTGACAAGATCGAGGGCTTGGTACTTTCTGTGAACGTGTAGTTGTATTGAAGGGTGACTAAAGAACAAAAATAGACTCATCTTTACCAGCTGTGTTTACAGTCAGTCAGAAGCAGCCTTTTAGTCTGTGAAAGCCATTAACGTTATTCCATATCAATAACCACCACACACACACAAAAAAGGATCAAACACCATCATTTTTCTGCAATCACAGCATCTTTTGGGGAGTGTCTCAGTGCTTTATGAAAGTAAATTCTAAAATGCTTATTTCAGGACTGTGAAAGAAAAACCTGACACTTCAGCAATGAGCAGTCTGATGCAGTTTCTAACTGTAACAAAAAATTCTGAAACACGATTACAGATCCAGGCAGTGTTTACATACACACACAGAGGTATATACTATGTATACAAATGCCCAAATACACACAGAGTGCTGTTTTGATCTTCTCCCTTCCCCAATGAAGCTGTCAAGACAGAAGAAAGGGTAATCATTCCTGTCTAGTTAGTTATCCTGAAGTGTCTTGCTACTGGAATTTCTTAAAATTGGACTTTTAAAGGTTGGGGGGGGGTGTTTAAATTTATATTTTCCTGTGAGCAGCCCAACAAAAAAATGATTGGTATGTGCTGATGTAAACATCTTGGTTTAGTCAGATAGGTTTTTTTTCCCATTCTTCAACAGTTTTCCATATTTCCCACAAACAGCAGAACAGTCTGGCATGCTGTCAGACACCTTCTGCCCCAAACTTGGCTACTTGTTTCTAAGGTACATGTCTGCACATTTCCTTTGCTTAAAAAGCAACAGCCTTATACAAAAAAGCTAAAACAGAAGCTATTAAAATTGTAATAAAAAAAAAAAAAAAAAGGAGGAAGTTGTTTTGTTGGGGTTTTTTTTTGTTTAAAAGCTCAGTATTGGTTTTCTTGTTCATCAAGAGTAGGCAGCCCTCCAGAAACAGGAAGAGGGAATGTTACGGTTCATAACTGGATGCCAAAATTTAGGAGTAACTAACTAGTTCTCAGAACCACAAAATTCATCATCTTTGAAATATCAACAACATAATGACATAATATTTGCTTGCATAAGCAAGCCCTGAACGTTTTTTTTAAACAATAATAGAATGAACTGAAAATTTTGGTATTAGCTAGAACCTTCAATACGCCACACTTTTATACTGCTGAGAGACACCGCTAAGAGCTGTTGCCCAGTTGCTTCACCTTTCCTAGCAGCATTCTTCAACTCCCAAGTTTTAAGTCTTCTTGTTTAGAGTTGTTTGTTAAGTTTTTCAAACCATGCTGCCCGAAGCCAGCACAATGAAACACTTGATGCCCACATTATTAATTTTACCAGGATAATCCTCCTCCTCCAAGCAAAACATCTGTGTTTTCTAAAGACAGCACTCTCTTACATAAAATTTTAAATAAGCAAATGTATGCATGCAGAGGGAAGAAGCATGTCATTAATTTGACAAAAAGGAAGCATTCTCAGACTGGCAGCAAGCAGGGTAAGGGGAAAAAGAAAACTAGGAACAACGAACTCTTACAGTTATAAGCAATAACTAGTTTAAACTACTTTTCGTCTACATCAAACTTGTAAAAACAAAAAGGGAAATATTTCTTGACTATGCAAATTGAAGAAACTGAGTAGCGTAAAATCAAAATAAGAACAAGTCTGAGACTATGCCAAAGAAAACTTGCACTAACTTTGTAGTCTACAGAATTTCAGAATTATGTTGATTCAGGAGACAAAAATTACTCCTCCCAGTAACCTAGAGCAACCTTGGTCTCATTTATAGTTTGCTGGAAAGAAAATACATTCTTCCAGATTTCTTCATCTGTCTCAGTAAACTACTGTAGTCTACTGAATCATACAAGTATTTTGCCATTTAATATTAATACAGTTTTTGGTGGCGTAAGTAGCAGTAAAATTTGGTGGTGCTTTTTTCAACCTTGCTCAGATATTTACAGGTTATTTTAAAGGAAGATTAGTAATTTCATACAGAACTTGTTTTCTTAGACAAATGCCTGTGTAGGACTTGAAACTTGTCTTCTTTAAGCTAGTATGAAAATTTAACATATATCCTTGCAAATATTTAGTAAGTCCTACTTTAGGAACATACAAACCCAAACATCCTCACTGAGAGAACTTCAGTTTTCCCCTTAGTGAAGATTTTGACAATTAAGTAGAGTCATGCTATCTTTCTCAGATAAGGAATTAGAAAAAAAACACTGTTCCCAAAAGAGGAGAACTAACCGATTACACAGACTGCCCCCAGAAGAGGATGGGGAAAGTTACGCTCTCACTATTCATGGGATGATTCACCACAAAGAAGCTTCCTGAGAAAGAACTACAGTTTTTTTGTGGTTTAGCTGCTGTGGAGTTTGATGCTGATTTAGCAGACAAAAATTACTGCTCTTAAACTCACAATATAAGACAGGTTTCACATATGATTCTTCTGACAAGAAAGCACCCACATCAGTGATTTTTCTTACAACTTATACAATCTGTACACGAACTCAGCTGCAACTACTATGGCAGCACTGAGAAAAGCTGATGTTTTAGGCAGAAGCGTTTACATCAAAACAGAGAATGCAACAATCTCCATGTGGCAGAGGTTCAGACTAAAGATAAATTATCTACGAGTAACTTCAGCAGCATTATTCCAGATGGAGCAAAACCAACCAAAAGTTATAGAGTAGCTAAATAAATACTACTCTTCTATTGTTATTTTTACAGTTGCCCAATGATGTTATTTGCATGTAGGCATCATCGGAGTATGTAGCAACATATACTACCGTAAAAATTCCCGTTCCTTACATACTACCTACAGAAGTCTATGCTTGCATAACCAGACTAGTAAAGACTAATTTTCACACATGATGCAAACATGTAAGTGAACCTGAAACCAACTCTTCTCTGTCACATGCCATAGAGCCTCCAGAGGTGCTCTCATACCAAAGAGAACTGAAAAAAAAAAACCAAAACATTTCCAGTTCCAAAAGCAATGAAGACTTTGCTTAGAAAATCTTTTTCTTGTACTTTGGGTTTCAGTTCGCACGTATTTTCAGGCAGTATGGAGTACCTTCTGCAGAAGCTTTACATACTATCCCTATCCGTAGTATATTTGGCTATCTATCAAAAATTCAAGGCACTGTTCTACATTAGGTTGCTCTTTCTACATATATAGTGTCCTGCATGAAGAACAAAGCACATGCACCTAATATAATTAAGAAGAAGGGGCAGAAAGGTAATGGTTATTTATTCAAGTTTCCTCAACCTATATAATCTGACATGCCTAGTGTATAACCTAGTGATCAACAGCCTTGTTTGATGACTTCAAATAAGATGGCTTAATCAGAAGCAGCAAAAAAAATTGTATAGTTCGATAGCAGTAGGTGACAATTGAAAAAGAAACTAACATTTGCTAAACTCTTTAAAAGAAATAAAGGAAAAATACTCATTAAAATATTCATTAAAAATAAGAAACGAAGTGACAGGAGTAGAGATTTCTCTGTGTTCTTAGAATGTCAATATCAATATTTGTCTATTTAAGTTGCTGAAAACTACTTTCAGGCTATTTAGTTTTTAGGATGATTAGAACTGGCTAGATCTTTATACCATCAGTAACTCACTGGCCTCCACCTGCTGACTGGAAAGAATTACAGTCAAGCAAATGATTTATCATCAGACAGTTGAAACATGGCCTTTTAATCCATGTGAACTTGCCTTCTCTCAAAATTTAAAAGACTTAAAAAGAGCTGTCAAAGAATGTATAAATCAAAATGTACTTGCATCAAACATTAGATATCCATTATGCCTAAATAATGTAAAACCTGTACATCAGTATATTGCTATTAACTGTCCCTCCTCAGTGCTGCAGAATTGCAAGAGCATATTCAAACCCTTCCTTCCACCTCCTTCACATACATACCTCTCCAAAGGCTCCTCGACCAATCACCTTCAGGATTTCAAAATCTTCTTTATGTAGTCGCATCTGTTTCACTTTAGATGTAAAAGGTTTGGCTGAAACAAAGGAAAATATCGATCATTAAAAAAAAACAAACAAACAAAACAAACAAGAAAAAAACCCACACCAAAACCAAAAAACCAAACAACAAGGTGACAGTAACATAAAATAGATGTAATCAGAGCCCTGAAAACAACAGACCATTTTGCTTATATACCTATATTCCCTAATGTAATATAATGAAGTTTAAAGCTGGAAATAATGACCAGTGAGAACTAAGCCAAAACTGCTGTGAGAGAAAGCTTATGAAGTAAGCCTATTTTTGCTTTTCTTTAAGGAAAAGGAAGAAGGAAAGGAAAGTCTAGCTGACTATATTTTTCTACAGTCTTTTGAGTTCATAGACATCCAGTGCATCTGTGCTGTACGTTGTTAACTCCGGTTGCAAAAGCAAAGTATAATACAATGAGGAGTTCACTCTGGACAATATTAATTTCTCTGCCAAACAGCAAAACAATATTGTATTCAATGAAAACGATGACTGGAAGGGCAATATTGGCAATATTTTTGGAGACCACTTCTTCAAGATAGACAACACTTAACAGTTAATTCTTGGCTTCTGGAAGCGAGAACAGTTGTACTCAAGACATTATTAACACATTCAGTGGAAAAACCCTACGTATATAAAGTTAAGCTTCATTTCCCTCTCCTTTTTTCCCCTCTTTTATAATATCTTTGAAAGCAGTAAGCAAAGTAAGGTATAGTTCTCCAGCCAGGTAACCCCAGTGTTCTTTGCAATGAAACAGTATCAGGAGGACTGTTCCCCTCTTTCAGCCCCATTTAGCACTACAACTAACCAGTCCATGTTCATTAATACATGCTCTCTGCATGCATGCAAAACATCCAAGTAACTGATAACTCTACCTCAAAAACCACATAACACAAACTTCGGGGAAAAAAAAGAACAAACCAACCCCACTTTAAATAATTAAGCAGGAAAAGGAGTTCCTTTAAAAAATATTTTAAAATCATGTTTAATACTTTACACAAATGAAATCTACTACTTAAACAGAATCTTCAGTAAATATGATTCATAAAAGTTGCCCATAAAAGAAGGTTGTATAACCCAGTGTACACAGGACTAGAATGGGTCTCAGAAGACCCAAGTTCAATTTCTGGCTCAAAGGCAGTCTTCCTCAATGGTCCTAAACAAGTAACCTCAAAAAAATTCACTCAGTTTCACATCCACAAAAAACAGACAGTATTTTTCTAACAAACAAGGTATTGACCATCACATACTTGGATCAAGAAACAAACAAGAGAACGCAACATAGGGTAGCCCTTTTACATGGCCCACAAAAACCTTTTTAGCTGATGCTTTCATGGTACAGGGACCCATCTATGTCCACTTCTATCTATACAGAGGCTGATGGAATCAGCACAGCTTTATTTGCAGTGAAGAGTTGTAACAGGCATCCCATTGCAGAACAATTTGTTCAAAATAATGTGTCTAAACAGAAATGGGAATTAGTTTTCAAAAGGTCCAAAAGCAAATGATGCTAAATAACAATGAAATTCTGTCTAGACACATATAAGAAATCCGATTTGGGTTCTTCTAGAATTCAGTATTTTGGCTTCCTAATGTTATGAACGAAAAAACCCCAAACCCTAATACTGATATATATAACCCATCATTCAATTTAGAATTTTGATATTAACACACACCCCTTCAAGGCACTACAAAATCCTTGTCCAAAAGCCTATTGCCTACTATTCAGCAAAGCAATTTTATAAACTGAGTCAAGACACAAGCTACCTGTATTTTTAATACCTAAAACACCCCACAAAACTTCTTTATCCCAGTCCTTAAATTAGCATTGTAAATCACATCTGAAAAATAACAGTGCAAAAATGCAGGGTCTTGTGTTTCTCCTGTTAAGCAGTACAGCACACCTCCACTGATGTTAGTGGTACAACGGATGAAATCCTTCAAGAATCGCAGAGGTTGCAAAGCCTGAACTTAGTCAATTTTTCTAAAATTCCTCAGATGCCAGGAATCAATTCTCTACCAGGAGTTACATTTGTTACAACCACAGGAACATCAGCTTATGCTTAAAAAAATTTTGGGTTTTAGGTCCAAATAGTAAAGGTGCAGACATATGACACAGATTTTCACTTTATTGGTATTTTTACTTTAAATTTATAATAATTTTATTCAAAATATTTAATTATACCATCAAAATACAGATATACTTTTAAAATCTAATTTTAAAAGAAGTATTTTACTCAGGTTCACAGAGATTCCCCAAACTTTCAATTAATCTTTTATACCTTAAAAGAAAGGTCTTGCAATTGGAAAAATAAGTGACGACAAAATGTACTGCCTTACTGGGACAGCCTCAGCTGTATAGCACCAAGTGATTTAATACAAATATTAATACTACTGACAAATACTACTGAACAAATTAAAACAAGCCATTAAAGCCTTTTAACTTGAAAAACAACTGATTGAAAACAAACATGTAGTTCTCGACTTGAACATTTTTTGACCGTTACAGGCCTGGCTAGAGTACAAGGCAAAATATCTTGTTAACAAGCAACAGCATAGCTGTTTAAACCACAAAACTCTTCCTCATTTTATATTGTAAGGAAAGGCCTGTCATTCTTTAATTATTACATTTTGGAATCTTCCAGGGTTCCCATAGGGACACTGGAAAAATAAACATCATTATAACTACTTCAGTAAAATACAACCGACAAAAATAGGTTTGGATTAGTTGTACTGATTTGTAGTGTCGGTGTTAGTGGAAAAGTTTGTAAACCCTACTCTTTAATTTTTTTATCACCTCTAGCAACAGACATTTCAACGTATAGCCAAGCAGGTTTATGAAGAAAGACACAGTCAAAGAAAAGAAAAGAAAGAAAAAAGAAAATAAAAAATTGCCCTAGGAATGTGCTTCAAATAGCTTGTTCCAAAAAAGGTCAATTTGCTTTATCATCAATGTTGTTTGTCTGCTGTGCAAACATCTGCTGTTCTTGTGGCAACGGCAATCTTAAGTACAGAAAACTTGGCCTGGCCAAGGGTCCTGGAAGGCATATCTTCAGACAGCCGTTTCATGCATCCAGCTTTCCAGACTATGAGGTTAACAGGCAGACTTTTTGCAACTAGTTTGGCAATGTCATATGAGCTGTTATAAAGACAGCAAACTGTAAGGTCAGGGAACGGTTTTCAAAATGCAATGTGCTCAAAGGGCTCTCTGCGATGCAGCTCTGCTAAAACATACAGGTACACACCCCTCCTCGTTTATATCCCCATCTCCCTAAACAGAATCATCATGAAGTTAACAGAAAAGACTACCCTCTTTTTCAGAAGGAGCTGCAGTTTCCTTGATTGTTGATACCAATGACTCACTGTCTCTGCGGCTTTTTGAGAGTGAAAGGCAGTATGGGCATTTCCTTTGGTACTTCATTCAACCTACAGAAATGCAGAGGGATAGCTGATTTTTCCCACACAGACGTCCCTTTTCAAGGTGGCTAGCCATGTGTGATACAGATTAGGGACCAACAGTTTGCTGGTTCTTCCTCCTCCAAACCAGAGGGTAAGTGTGGGCAGCATGTCCCCTGGCTCCTCCTGGATTTTCGACTCAGCAGGAACCAAAGTTCATTATATAAAACTTTCACATTTGCCAGTATGTCCTCTATGGCCACAAGCTGACAAGTCATACATAGAGTCTGTGGAAGAAGTTACTCTGAAAAATATTCTATGTTGCTATCAATCACCATGGAGGAGATGGATAGATAAGACTTGACGTATAAAAACTGTTCTACAAGAATCATTAGCCACCCCACCTGGCCAATACTTCTGATCTCACCCTGCCTGGGAAAAAACTCTATCCCTACCGAAACCAGGACACAGAGGAATGTACATTCTACCTCCTGGCCCTGAAAAGGGAGGATTTTATTACAATTACAACAACTGTCCAGCAGAAGAGAGGCAAAAGAATGGGTTCTGCAGTAGTGACATTGAGCTTCAACAATCTGTTTTATCATACTCATGGTGCGGAAGCAGTTACTAGCATTACTTAACAGTACGTTTAATACCAAGGGGTTTAATTTTTAAACTCTTGGAGATAAAAGTCCATCTCCTGATGAGCTGACACAGGGAGGACAGCGACATGGTTGATAACCCAATACAGTTTAGTACTGTGATTATACACGTGATACCAAACAATATCAAAAAAATAAAACAGCAGTATTGGATGCTTTAATTGCAAAGTTAGTCTCGTGCTCCTGCCTTGCTCTCTCTCCCTCCAGCTCCCAGTTTCTGCCTACAGAGCTTGGGCAGGGCTAGCTCTGAAATTCAGATTTTTCAGGGCTAACCTGCTGGCTGGGGGGTGGGGAGGGGAGAGCTAGTGGTGAGCTCCTTCCCCCTCCCTGACCTGCTAGCACCCCTTTCCCTCCCCAGCAGAGCACTGCAGCAAACCAGAGCTGGTGTAGGCATGGGTTGAAATTAAACCCAAGTGAGACGAAGGTCATGCTGACTGTTTAAAGGAAGTGCTGCAGACTCGGAGCAGCAATTGAAAATGGGTCCCCACAACTGATTTAAATAGAAAACAAAATGGAACAGGACAGTGTTTAGGAATTCCTCTTGGTGCCTCACCGATGCCATAGTCGCTTTTTAGATAAACAGGCTGGCTAACTCTGCTCAGATGGAAGACTGTATCCTTGACTGGCAGGTCTCAGTAAGATAGCCATTTCTTACTTCCCAAAGGAATTACAAAATGTGTTTCCTTAGTGATCCAGGTATCACACAGCAAACCCAGCCTTGCTGCCCACTGCATTGTTCAATGTAAAATACTATGTCAAGCCAACGATAGAGAAATTAAAAGCTGTATCCACCAGAATTGTCCACAGCAATGGTGAAAGTTCATTATGAAGGAAATAGATTGGAAAAGAAAACAGCCACCATGGGAAACTAGCTGCTTGCCATTTCAAGACAAAGCCTCCTTTCCTTCACTAGTTAAAAATAATTATAAAAATACATACAGAGCTTTCCCAT